TGGATATCAGTTTTTAGGTAATAATTCCAATGACGTCTATTTCTCTACTTTTGTTATGTTTGTTGCAATATAAATACCAGCGCCATTTGTTTTGTTTGCGGCTTTGTTGTGACTTGGTAAAGGATCCTGAGGCAGATGTCTTTGACGAGTTGTTGCTGAGAATACTCTTCTTGACAACGACTGATTTACTCCACAAACTCTGATGATACTTTTCGCACTCCCCTCAGCCCTTTCTAGTTCAATGTCTTGCTGCCCTTTACCCTTTCACCATCCACTACCCCGCTGTTATCCGTAACCTATTACTCATCCATCTCCCTTTTGCCACCTGATGCCCTCGCTTCCTTCCTGCCCTGCAGCGCTGTATAGTCCTTGTGGCTTAGCGCTTCTTTTTGATTATAATAATAATAATGCTGAGAATACTAACTACAGATTCTTAATAACTTTTATCACAATTAAGCTCGTCAAATTCTTCAATCTTTGTTTCATCATCTTTACTTCATCAGACTCGTTGCTGCTTTATTATAATAATGGTATACAGTATTGTTAGGTAGAAGAGTCAAACATATGCAACAGACATGTACAATGAACACATACATATGGTACATTGTAAATACGTGTGTTTCATTGTTAAACATGGACTTGTCGAAAGCTGCAACACATGTTTTGGATGATCTCTCGGTGCTGACGTTAGTGGACTGCCCGAAATGTGACTGTTACAGTACTTGTCTTAGAAAAAAGTGTAACACAAAACGGTGCCGGTGTTGTAAAGTGTTTCGTGCGTATCATTTTGCGAATGTAATATTTCTTGAAATGTAATATGTCTTTTATATTCTGTGGATCATTATTGTCTTTAAGACAAGTAATTTAATTACTTTTTCGTATGGATTTATTCAAAAGCAGACACAAATACATATACATTGTTTTACTTACAACTTGAGAATGCCTCATTCGATCGGCAACAAATTATCATCGATGGTAAATTCAAACTGCGGAAGGTTCATGGCAAGTGCAGTGGCTCTCTCGTCAATGTTATATATAATACAGACCTTGGTCATAAGACCTGCAGGAATTTTGCGGTGGACGAGTGCTCTAGCTGCATCATATCAGGGTTTTTATACTCACAGCATTGTCTTTTTAAAGTTATTATGATGCCTCTGGACACAGATGGATGGAAATTTACCTTTCTTGCCTAATTTGATCCAGGAGAGGTACTGACATACTGACTTTCATTATGACACTATTCACTGTCTCCTTATACAAATTCCTACCATTCATTAAACTAGTTTCTCTAGCAGCACATTTATTATTATTTATATTATTATCATTGTTATTATTAAAACATCAGCGCTGGACCCTCACGGATCTCACAGCGCTGCAGTTGCGCGTGTGTAAACTTGTTCGGGATAGCGGGAGTTAGAGGTTAGATTTCGTGGAAAATATATAAGAAGGTTTGTGCAGAAATGTAATTTTCCTCAGAAAGTCAGTGTGTGTTTGCTTTTATGGTGGGACTTTCGACGAGAGAGGAGAGTGAGTCTGAGAGTTGTAAGTGTCGAAGAGTGTATTGTAAATCGCTCTCTGATACATAAGGCAGCTTATTAAGACATAATAAACTGACAGTATGACTTGGGGGCACTTAGAGAGAGGCGGCGTCTAGTATCTCTCTCTCTCTCTCTCTCTCTCTCTCTCTCTCTCTCTCTCTCTCTCTCTCTCTCTCTCTCTCTCTGTGAGGCGCTCGTGTCTCCGATTTTGAAATTTAGGAAAATCATAGAAATAAATTAAAGGGACAAATATCACTTCGGACTCTCACCGATCTCTGCCCTCTATTCTTAGTTTTAGTGTTATTTGTCGCTCTCTCTCCCTTATTTCTATGGTCTTCCTAAAACTCATAAATCTGTTATCCCTCCACGTCTTGATGTGTAATTGTGCGAGGATAGTTTTCTCGCACACGACGACGTTGCTTGATGTCCAGAAACCTTCTTGCGGTTTAACGAAGAATAATTTATTGTGCTGTGAACTGGACCTACGGCATTGCCAGCGATATCGTAGTTGAGAGATTAGTGTAAAATAGTCCGAAAGAGAGACCCTTATATTGAATGTTGGTAAATCATGAATGCAGGGTCGATTAGCCGAGTCTGCAAATTTGTTAACTTGAACATCAAAAAAAAAAAAAAGGAACTGGAGAGTCGAATTTCTGGATAACTTGTAATGCGCCTCAGGAGTCTGAAATATAAGGAAGAGGTGGGCATGGTTACACTGTATAAGACAGAGGCAGTTATTGCATATAATTTATTTAGTATTTATTTATTTTATTTATTTTATGTCTTTGCAAACAGTACATTGAGATTTTGTATTTACAATAGTGGGTTGCAATGCAAAGAGAGCCTCTATTATGCCTAAGCATTATGGGCCAACTTATTGGCTTACAGACTACTTAACACTAAGGATTATATCATAGTTGTACAGTAGGATAGTAATTATTTCATAGTTGTTGAGTAGATTATTAATTATAAGTGAATCAAAAATGCTTTTTGTGAAAACAGTGATTCAGTTATATCCCCGTCAACAAACGATAAAAGGTTCAAAGCGATTATTGAAGTTATGATGTGGGAGTACATAAGTGAGCATGTGTATACTGAGTATTTAGCGTTTAGTCTAGGGTGATTAAGTGGCTTTTGAGAAGAGTCTTAAATTGATTTTCAGACCGGGTTACTTTAATATCTTCTGGTTATGAATTCCATATTTTGGGGCCCTTTATGTGCATAGAGTTTTTACACAGTGTGATATGGACACGAGGTATATCAAATAGAGATCTGTGTCTTGTGTTGTGATCAAGTGTCCTGTTTAGGTTGGTGAGGAGAAGTTTGAGTGGAGGGTTTATATTTGCGTGTATTGTTCTGTGTATGTAGTAGGCACATGAATAAGTATGGATGTTCTTAATGGTGGGCAGATTCAGACTTGAAAACTGGTGGAGTATGCTGGCGGGAGTGGGAATTTGTTATCATTCTTACTGCTGCCTTTTTCTGGGTTATTAGGGGGTTTTAGGTTATTGGATGTTGTTGAACCCCATGCACAAATTCCATATATAAGATAAGGATATATGAGTGAATGGTACAGTGCCAGCCAGGAGAGCTGATTGTGGAACGTAGTACCTCCCACTCCTGCTGTGAAAGTGCTGGCCAACTCTAGCGAATATCTCTTAATTGGGAAAGCAGCTGCCACCTACCCTGGGAATTTAGAGCCGTAAGTGTACACTGCTGCATCATATGAGAGCTAGAGTTGAGAGCAGGTATGTGAGCTTTCCAGCATAGAAGAAAAGAGGAACAAACCTGAATCATCGGAACTTCTTAAGAAGTATAGAAAAATGCGTTACTGGGTGGAGGTACAAGAGTGGTAAATTAAGAGATATTACCAGTTATGATGCGGGGGTTGAAGGGTTTTAATGAGGTCGACTGTTATATAAATTATATTTTCTAATATCAGTAATTATTCTGTACGTTTCCGATCTCCAACAAAGAAGCAGAGATTGACTCAGCCCGGCTAAGACCGCGAGTGAATACAATTTAAAAGGGGAAAGAAAAAAAGGGGAGACAGGAATCAGGGGTTAAAGAAAACAATCAACACTCGAGCTGGTAGTTAAACCAGTGGTGTACCTGTGATATACCCGTGATTAGTTTTGGGAGTTTCTCTGCCCCTTGGTGCCCAGGTAGGGCCAGACTTTTTTCTCGATTACCTTTTTAACTAAGCTGTTCTGATAGTGGCTCGCTGGTCCAAATATCCATCACAGCCTGATTGATCTGCCACTTGGCGAAGGCAGTAATCCAGTTTCCTTTTGAAAACTACACTTGTTCTGGAAATATTTTTGATTACTGGTAGCAGATTGAAGAGTTTTACAAGATGGAAAGTTTAAAGAGAACAGGCTGAATTATTAGTTACAAATTAATTCTAAAGTTATGTATCTAGAAAAAACAAGTAGTCGATGGTAAAATAACTTTTTCCAAAGCACAAGAAATTCTAACAATTTACAAATAGCGCTAGTAAGAGCAATAGACCCATAATGCGAAGTGCTTTGGCCCGTGGTACCCATTTTTCAGAAAGCAAGAACTGCTCCAAGTTTCCACTTCAGGGGTAATGCACCCTCGGACCATACAGTATCCCACTAAAAATGAAATAAATGGAAGGTTATTGCGGTTGGGTGTAAGTGTTGGAACTTATTAACATGAATATCGTCTGTTATTATTAGTGTGTGTTAACACACATAGGATAGATGTAAACATTATGGGATGGGTTATCAGGGCAGCTTCCTCGTCATTATAATAATTTCAGTAGGGTCTCCTACTTCTTTTGTCTGCAATGGTAAGTCGGGGGCGCAAGGTTAAGTGTGTTCATGCCTGCCATTTTTTTTATTTTCTTCCAAACTGTGCTCATAGAAGTAGTGGCATTCATGGTGGTAACACAAGCACGCCTTCAAGATCGTGTGGCATTTTGTACAAAGCGACGTGCATGGCTTCTTGCGTTTTTGTAAGCTAGAAATCTTTTTTTTTTTTTTTTGGTACTCTTGTACTGGTAGCAACCCCACGGAAAACGTTTCAAACGAACTGCTGGAGTCTTAACCTGAGAATACAAGCATTGCTGATAATGTTTGCCTGAGGTTCAGGGGATAGCGAGCAAGCTGCAGGTTAAACGGAGGTGGTGAAGGAAAAGTGATGCAATAACTCGTATGTAGGGTGATCAGGAAGAGGAGCGTAAAGAGCCATATACCGAGTACAAAATGTCCAATTTGTGCGTTCAAATTGCTACTGGGCTGGGCGAGATGGGGAAGTGGATGTAAAAGTGAGAAGTAATGAGAAAAGCGAAATGATTACTGTCTCGTTTATTACAGTTCAGTCAAAAAATCGTTTATTACAGTCCAGTCAAATTTAAACGATGTGGAAGATAAGGAAATAGATAAACTTATTCATGAGAGCTTGCGAATACGGGATATACAGTACTAATCATTGAAGTGGAAAACACTCGACATAGTTGTGCTCTACTCTGGAACATTTATCGACGAGATAAAAAGTTATACTGGCCTGGCAACTAGAAGTGGTATATCTCAAGACTCTGTATGGTAACTGGCTGCATTCTATGTGCCTTTTAGGATTGTGTGGTAGTCGGTTTTGTGTCCGTGGTGCCCTTGCACCGTGTGGTCTTGAGGGCCGAGTTTGTCGGACATTTTTTGTGTTGACGAATTAATATGGGCAGGAGTAAGTCGTTGACACAAAGAGACAATTGCATAAATCACTGGATTACGTAACTCAGGCTATCAAACGAAGGAAATATTAGAAGCCAGCGATGTGTGTGATCGTCCAGTGTGAATCTGGTTACATCTGTTTCATGAAAAAGCGTTCATGACATACCCACACCAAATGCACTTCCAGGGAAGCCTAGAAAAAAATCTTCATTAATGTTTCTTATAATAAAGTACTTAGAAATGATCTGTCATCATTACATTGAATTTTTTACTCAGTGTGGTGCAAGGTTTATATGTAAAACTGTGGTTCTTGCCACACTGTGAATGGCTGCACAAAACCATTCACGGTGTGATTGGCTTCGTGAGTGTGTAGTATACTTCCTCGATAAGTGACCAGGTAATCCTAGACATGAACCCTATTGAGACTAAAGAGATAAAGAGAGATCTACTAGGGAAAGGATATCATCCCATGCCCACGGCTTTAGGACGCCATCCGTAAGTCGTGTGGGAATTTACCCCATAAAATCCTGAAGAACATGTGTGTTAATCATTTCCTAGGCGGTGGAAGGGGTGTCCTAAAGCGTAATAGACGACCTATCGTGTAGTAGTAGTGTCAACAGAGATTAAATATTTACTAATAAGGCTGTTAATGTCTTGCCACACCCAGCTTTTCAAGGTAGTGCTAGGCTCATCCCTCTTACACAGTAGGGGAGGGGAAGGATAAGGATACGGAGAGGAGGAAAATAAGGAAAGAGAGGAGTAGGAAAGTAGGAAAAGGAGGAGAAAGAAAGGAGAGGAAGGGAAAGGAAGAGCAACAAAGAAACGGGGAGGAGGATGAAGTTAGGAAGAGGAAAAATACTTGAAAAAGGTTGAGTAAGTGTCCATGGTGTGTTAAAAATTGTGTGAGGGAGAGTGTCACAGTGTTACGGTGACCGTATTTGAGTCCAGAAGAAAATCACAGAAAAAGTGTTCTACAGAGTGTGCTGCAAAGTGTGTTTCAAAGTGCCACTAAATTTATTAGAACATATGTCCTTGTGCGATTCTTATTTCACAATATTATTGGAGGATTCAACAAAGGCTTCAGAAAATTTACTGGTGAAAAACAATAACACAATGATAATACGCTGATTAAACAAAGAGATCTGAGGCACTGTGTTTCTTGTGGAACCAAAGACACTGAATCAGTGTTTCCTGTGATACGAGAGGCAGTGAATCTCTGTTTCTTGTAGAGCCATAGGCATTGAATCAGTGCTACTTGTGGAACCAGAGACAATGATTCAGTGTTTATTGTGGCACCAGAGGCACCAAATCAGTGCTTCTTGTGGAACTATAGGCACTGAATCAATGTTTCTTGTAGAACCAGAGGCAGTAAACTAATGTATTGTTTTCTTGAGGCCCCAAACACCAGAAATAGGTATTGTGGTGGCGGTAGAATCAGAAGTCAGACAGAAATACAGTGTCTTGAAGCACCAGAGACACTAGGTGAATTTGTTTCTGGGATCACACACGAGAATAAGATAGAATCAGATGTCAGACTACGTCTTATGAACACGGGAAGTAACGTAAGGCCTGTAGCATCTGGTCATAAACAAAGTCAGTTATATAGATAGATCAACAGAGCAAGCCAAATGCACAGCAAACACAGCAGGGATAGATTTCTCTACCCATGTATTCCTTCACCATTTATTTACAATATTTACAAAGTTAAGATATTAATTAGTAGTACAATAATTAGACAGCCAAGAACCATTCAAAGAAATGAGTGGTTTCAACCAGAGTAGGCGAGAGACTGCCTAACACCCAGGCAGACAGATGTGACATCACCTTGGTTGGAGAAGCGTGGTCTCAGTGATTGGTGGGTTGAACTCGATAACTGCTATACTTCGAACTGCCAGCTTGTTGGTCTAGAGAGCATGTCAGTGGTTGTGTGATGAACGTCGAATAAAGAGTAATATACTCGACTTGCGCCAAACTCCCATCCAAAGACCGCTGTAATGGATGGGGAAAATACATCCCTCAAATGGGTAGCGTGCCACCATGGAATTGCCAATCCTCTCATACCATCCAAACCAACGTATTGTTTTCTAGTTGAAACCAGAGGTTAAATTCAGACACACTAAGGTATTGTGATTATTGTAGATATATAGGCCTGACTAAAGTGTTGTCTTGCTGGTGAAACAAGAGGCGAGACTAGGGTATTATGTTGGGTTCTTGATAATGTATGAAGTGGTGGTGTAAGCAAGAATGATGAAGACAGAGATGGAGGCAGTGATGAAAACAATGATGAAGTGATGATGGAAACAGTTAAGGAGTCGGTGATGAAAAAAGGTGGTGATGATGGCAGTAGTTATGATACAAGTAGTGATGATAGACGTGGTGATGATGACACTAGGTGGTGATTCAGGTGGTGATTACAGAGATGATGAGGGAGGTGGTGATGATGGGTTGTGATAATAAAAGCGCTGATGATGGAGGTGGTGATGACAGTGGTGGTGATGATTGAGACAGTGATGATGGAGGCAGTGATGATGGAGGCAGTGATGATGGAGACAGTGATGATGGAAACAGTGATGATGGAAACAGTGATGATGGAAACAGTGATGATGGAGACAGTGGTGACGGAAGCAGTGATGATGGAGACAGTGATGATGGAGGCAGTGATGATGGAGGCAGTGATGATGGAGGCTTGCGGGGTACACTAGGGTGAAGGAGAGGAACCTTCGACCTTCTCCACGACGCCTGCAAGATTGAAGGAATAACGATCCTGGAGGTGGGGGAGGGAGATGGGATGAAGGGAGAGAAGAAGGGAGGGAGGAGGGAAAGGTGTCTCTATCCCCCCTACCTGTCTGGAGGGGGGGGAGCGAGGGAGGGAGGGTGGGTGGAGGGGAGTGAAGAGAGGGGAGATAAGGGGAGGGAGGAGGGAATAGTGTCTCCACCACGTGCCTGAAGAAGGGAGGGGAGATAAGGGGAGGAGGAGGGAATGGTGTCTCCACCATGTGCCAGAAGAAGGGAGGGAGAGGATGTCTGTCTTCACCATGTGCCTGGAGGAGGGAGGGGGAAGACGACTGTCTCCAACACCTGCCTGGAGGAGGGAGGGGGAGGATGTCTGCCTCCAACACCTGCCTGAACAAGGGTGGGGGAGGATGTCTGTCTTCCCCACCTGCCTGGAGGAGAGAGAGGAGGACGTCTGTCTTCCCCACCTGCCTGGAGGAAGCAGGGGGAGGACGTCTGTCTTCCCCACCTGCCTGGAAGGAGGGGGAGGACGTCTGTCTTCCCCATCTACCTGGAGGAGGGAGGGGGAGGTCGTCTGTCTTCCCCATTTGCCTGGAGGAAGGAGGGGGAGGTCGTCTGTCTACCCCACCTGCCTGGAGGAAGGAGGGGTAGGACGTCTGTCTTCCCTATCTGGGTGGATATGGGAGGGGGAGGAGGCTGTCTTCCCCACCTACCTAGAGGAGGGAGAAGGAGGACGTCTGTCTTCCCCACCTGCCTGAAGAAGGGAGGACGTCTGTCTTCCCCACCTGCCAGAAGGAGGGAGGGGGAGGACGTCTGTCTTCCCCACCTGCCTGGAGGAAGGAGGACGTCTGTCTTCCCCACCTGCCATGAGAAGGGAGGGGGAGGACGTCTGTCTTCCCCACCTGCCTGGAGGAGGGAGGGGGAGAACGTCTGTCTTCCCCACCTGCCTGGAGGAGGGAGGGGAGGACGTCTGCCTTCCCCACCTGCCTGGAGGAGGGAGGGGGAGGACGTCTGTCTTCCCCACCTGCCTGGAGAAAGCAGGGGGAGGACGTCTGTCTTCCCCACCTGCCTGGAAGGAGGGGGAGGACGTCTGTCTTCCCCATCTACCTGGAGGAGGGAGGGGGAGGTCGTCTGCCTTCCTCATTTGCCTGGAGGAAGGAGGGGTAGGACGTCTGTCTTTCCCACCTACCTAGAGGAGGGAGAAGGAGGACGTCTGTCTTCCCCACCTGCCTGAAGGAGGGAGGACGTCTGTCTTCCCCACCTGCCTGGAGGATGGAGGGGGAGGACGTCTGTCTTCCCCACCTGCCTGGAGGAGGGAGGGGGAGGACGTCTGTCTTCCCCACCTGCCTGGAGGAGGGAGGGGGAGGACGTCTGTCTTCCCCACCTGCCTGGAGGAGAGGAGGGGGAGGACGTCTGTCTTCCCCACCTGCCTGGAGGAGGGAGGGGGAGGACGTCTGTCTTCCCCACCTGCCTGGAGTAGGGAGGGGGAGGACGTCTGTCTTCCCCACCTGCCTGGAGGAGGGAGGGGAGTATAACACACACTATCACTATCCTTCACTGCTCTTCACGACATCTACCATACAATCATCTGTTTATTTTCTCACCCAGTTATGTATATGTCTTTCCGAATAGGTAAAACTAGCGATTTTGGCTTAAATAGCAACGCTCTTCTTGCCAAATAAGGCAAGCGAAAATTTGTGTATGATTAATTTCGCAAAAATTATTCTGAACTCAAAGAAAAAAAAATATTTCACTGTTTGTTTATTATTAAATTATTGTAAACTTATCTAAAATATATTTAGTTGGATTTGGCTAAATTAAATTGCACTTGTTATAATAAGGTTAGGTAAGTTTCCTAAGTTGTTGTTTTTTATATTTTTTTTTTGGGTACAAAATTATTAATTTTTAAACATATTCCTTTAAACATATAAGAGAAAATTTTAGAAAAGACTTAATTGTAAATGAGTTCTTGCTAATTGACCAGTTTTACTTATTCGGCACGACATATATGTATATATATATATATATATATATATATATATTATATATATATATATATATATATATATATATATATATATATATATATATATATATATATATATATACATAATTATATATATATAAATATATATATATATATATATATATATATATATATATATATATATATATATATATATATATATATATATATATATATATATTATATATATATATAAATGTATATATATATATATATATATATATATATATATATATATATATATATATATATTATACATATATATATATGTATATATATATATATATATATATACATATATATATATATATATATATATATATATATATATATATATATATATATATATATATATATATATATATATGCAAAACAACCACTCTGAAAGAATAGATTAATTCCAAGCGCTTTCGTGACTACTCACATTATGTGCCAGTCTGGCAGAACAGACCCTAATTTCTTGAAGTGGAACCACGACACTTAAGACAATCCAAACCATTCGTATGTGAACCCGGTTTTAGGTTATACACAATATAAACGAATCGAGTTTGAATTACCCGCAACTTACAGATTTTTACTTCATATAATAATAATCATAATAATTTAGAAAGGATACTTAATTACATTAAGTATCCTTTTTAAATTATTATAATTTTTATTATTATTATTATTATTATTATTATTATTATTATTATTATTATTATTATTAATATTATTATTATTATTATTATCATTATTATTATTATTATAATTATTATTATTATTATTATTATTATTATTATTATTATTATTATTATTATTATTATCATTATTATTATTATCATTATTATTATTATTATTATTATCATTATTATTATTATTATTATTATTATTATTATTATTATTATTATTATTATTATTATTATTATTATTATTATTATTATTATTATCATTATTATTATTATTATTATTATCATTATTATTATTATTATTATTATTATTATTATTATTATTATTATTATTATTATTATTATTATTATTATTATCATTATTATTATTATCATTATTATTATTTTATATTATTATTTATTATTATTATTATTATTATTATTATTATTATCATTATTATTATCATCATTATTATAATTATTATTATTATTATTATTATTATTATTATTATTATTATTATTATTATTATTATTATTATTATTCCTGGGAGGCTAGACCACAATGGTCATAATTGCTTAGGGAATCGAATGCAGTCAGATTCGGTCCAAGGAAGTTAACGTTGGACTGAATTCCCTGGATCAAAATCCCTTCACTGATACAAAATTCTGGCGAAGGACTTAACAAGATTACTCAGATAAACCTTCTCAGAATTAAGATTTTTTCCAATTATGGCTAAGGTATAGGATTTATTAGATTAAAGAATTCTAGAATTATATTAGAGAGTTATAGTCATGACCTTATTATTGCCTTGCCTTAGTGGGATTGTTTACTTTGAAACAGTTCACTTTGAAACAGTTCATTTTGAAACAGTTCATTTTGAAACAGTTAACTTAGAAATAGTTAACTTTGAAATAGTTCACTTTGAAATAGTTCACTCTGAAATAGCTCACTTTGAAACAGTTAACTTAGAAATAGTTCACTTTGAAACAATTCACTCTGAAACTGTTCGCTCTGAAATAGCTCACTTCGAAATAGTTCACTCTGAAACAGTTCACTTTGAAATAGTTGTTTCTCTTCTCTGGAGTTCTCATTAGCGGACCTTGATTGGTGGTGTTGTGGGTCATTATCTCCTCTCCCTTCCCCTGGTTTCCTTTCTTTTACTCTATTTTACCTTGAACAAATTAAAAATCAAACCAGCATTTTTTTTTTTATTTTGCGAAATATTTTTCAGACTCCTGAAAATCAACAAAAGGGGGGGAATTTTTTCTTTTTTTTGGGGCAAAAACTGTAAATTTTACCTTATCCCGTAAGGCCCTGTATTGTAGATAGTCGTAATCCCCTCTATTGTAGATAGCTTAATGACCCTCGGTAGTAGATATCTTTTTTTGTATGATAATAAATTTTTTCTTCATTAAATAATAAAAAATATTATAACCTTTTTTTTATAAAATAAGTAAAAGGGCCCCAAGGAAAAAGTCCCGTCTGACTTTTTTTTGGGGTTTTCCAGGTTCTCTAACATAGCTGCATTTTAATTTTATTAAATTATTTGTATACCTAAAAAAATTTTACTTACTTTCTTTCTTTCTACACTAATTCACAAAAAAGTTGACATCAGATTTTTGTAAAGGGAAACTTGAAAAAAATTATCTTCACCCAAACCTCGGAAAGTGATAAAAGGGTTTAAGGGGGAATTTTGGATTTCTTCCTGAAGTCGTTTGAATATTCCACTTCCCCTACCACCCCATCTTTTCATTCTTTTTTACCAATAGGAATATTTTATTATATAATATGGTACAAAAAGGTTTAAGAGATACATTGTTGATATAAAGATTTCATATACAGTACATGAGATGTGAGAGATACATGTCTAGCACATATTGTTACATGTTTGTCACTGATTATAATGCGAAAATCTCATCCAGCTCTTCAGAACTGGAGCGCGTGCTCAAAATACAGCAGGCATTACCCCTCTGAACAGCAGCGCTGAGTCACTGGAACAGAAAATTAGCTGCCCTGGGATCCCTAGTTACCCTGATGAGTCTTTTGCCTAGCTCCTTAAGGAATTTAGATGCACTCTTTCCCCATGAGCCAAGGGTTTCTGAGCCTATGGGAACAAACATATAATGATGGGCAAGTTCTCCATATTTTCTAGACTTTTAGGACTCCCTGAGGCTGGCGGCTGCCCCTCCTTCCTCCCTGGTGTATTGGAGATAGGTATCAGCCAAGGTAGATGCACATGTGTAGTCCCACACTACCTGCTTGCCGTCTGTCCAGGCTTGAAGTGTG